ATCGCAGAGACTTGGTAGGCTGGAGAGATTGCTTAGCAATTAAGAGCACTTAATGCTCCTGCAGAAGACCTGAGTTCAATTCCCAGCACCCATAGGGTGGCTCATAACTATCATAACTTCAGCTCCAGGGGATTCAACAGGCACACATGTGATGCATATACATGCTGGCAGACAAAACATCCAGACACATAAAAATAATTTTTTCGAGACAAGGTCTCTCTCTATAGGCTTGGCTGCTGTGGGATGGTCTGTATGTCAAATTGCTCTGATTGGTCAATAAATAAAACACTGATTGGCCAGTGGCCAGGCAGGAAGTAGGTGGGACAAGGAGAGAGGAGAATTCTGGGAAGCGGAAGGCTGAGGTGGAGAGACACTGCCAGCTGCTGCCATGACCAGCAGCATGTGAAGACGCCGATAAGCCACCAGCCACGTGGCAAGGTATAGATTTATGGAAACAGATTAATTTAAGCTATAAGAACAGTTAGCAAAAAGCCTGCCACGGCCATACAGTTTGTTAGCAATATAAGTCTCTGTGTTTACTCGGTTGGGTCTGAGCGGCTGTGGGACTGGCGGGTGACAAAGATTTGTCCTGACTATGGGCAAGGCAGGAAAACTCTAGCTACACTTGGCTGTCCTGGAGCTTCCTATGTAGATAGACCAAGGCAGCCTCAAACTCACAGAGATCCTCCTGTCTCTGTCTCCCGAATGCTGAGTTTAAAGATGTGCACCATCACACCCGGCCATAAATCTTAAGAAAAAAACCCATTGACTTGAGAAAACTAAGACCACAAAGCTACAGAGAGAAACCCTGTCTCAAAAAACCAAAAGAAAAAAAAGAAAAAAGAAAGGACTAAGACATACACGGCCATCTACTCAGCCTTTCCTCCTAGAAGCCCACTGAGAGCCCACTTGGCACTAAACCCCACCAGGCCAGGAACCGGCTCAGCATGGCGACAGGTAGGACTGGCCTTGGACACAACCTACAGTCTCATAGTAAAGGAGAGGAATGTCTACCAGATTTTTGCACAGGCTCACAGTCTATGAGACTGCAAGGGGAAGGGGAGAAAGGAAGACAGAATCAAAGCTCAGCCCCACCCCACACTATCTAGAATCTGCTAAAAAGACATCTTGAGAATCTCTGCTCCAGCCTCACCCTCCCGTTCCAGACCCCACCCCTCAGAAGCCCAAGGGTCAGCTCCTCCCCCAGAGATGCTCAGAACCACACCTACAGGGTATTTAAGACACATCTCCAACCTGCACGGGATTTCTCTCCTGCTTTCTTCCCCAGAAACACCCGGTTGTGCACTGCTCAGAATTAACCCGGGCTTTTAATTTGGCCTGATCTGATCTATTGCATTGGTGGAGAAACACAGTATCGGGGTACAGAAACCTTTCAATCTTACAAAATTTGTATTTTCCTTCCCAGAGATTTTGTTTCTAAGAGAACTAATTCTAAAGAAAACTTGCCAAAGATTTATTTATACACAGGGAAATTCATCATAATGTTGTTTATAATTCAAGGAGTGAAATGGGGGTTGGAGAGATGACTTAAAAGTTAAGAGAGTGTTGGGGGATGGTGGCGCACGCCTTTAATCCCAGCACTACGGAGGCAGAGGCAGGTGGATCTCTGTGAGTTCGAGGCCAGCCTGGTCTACAGAGAGAGTTCCAGGACAGGCTCCAAAGCTATACAGAGAAACCCTGTCTTGAAAAACCAAACAAATGAAACAGTTAAAAGCACTGGCTGCTCTTGCAGAGGACCCAGGTTTGATTTCCAGCACTCACACAGTGGCTCACAACCCTCTGTAACTCCGTTTCGGGGATCTACCACCCTCGTCTGGTCTCCGAGGACACTGCATTCATGCAGTGCACCGATGTACATGCAGGCAAAACCCACACACATAAAATAATACAGTTTTTAAATGGACTCAAGCCAGGAATGCACCAGTGCAAATTCAAGAGTCATGGGATAAGTCAGCCAAGAAACTGGCTGGGGAGGGAGGGAGATGGTCTGTACAAGTCCACAGTGAGGAAATTAAACGTAAAAACAGCTGGGGATGTAGCTCAGTGGTATAGGACTGGCCTTGGCTCAACTCTCACACTGAATAAAAAGAAAAGAAAAAACTGCGGGGGTTTTTTTTTCCACTAGGAAATGATAAAGTAGTTTATAGACAGAATAGGGGTTTTTTTTTTTTTGTTTGTTTGTTTGTTTTTGTCTTTTGAGACAGGGTTTCTCTGTGTAGCCCTAGCTGTCCTGAAACTCACTCTGGAGACCAAGCTAGCCACAAACTCACAGAGATCTGCCTACCTCTGCCTCCCAAGGGCTAGGATTAAAGGTGTATGTCATCACACCTGGACAGAACAGTTATACACTCCCCCACAACACCTTTTATTTACTTATTTTTTTGAGACAGGATATAGCTAACATTGCTCAAATTGGCCCCACCCACAAAGGACTGGGTCCTCTGCATCAGTCACTAATTAAGAAAATGCCCGGGGCTGGAGAGATGGCTCAGAGGTTAAGAGCATTGATTGCTCTTCCAGAGGTCCTGAGTTCAATTCCCAGCACCCACATGGTGGCTCACAGTCATCTATAATGAGAGCTGGTGCCCTCTTCTGGCATGCAAGGATACATGGAGGCAGAATGTTGTATACATAATA